AGTAGATTAGACGTTTTCTCAGCAACCGCATTTTGCGTCTGAGTGAGCTGGGTATAACGCAAGGTATTCATCATATTGGCAGAAACAGAAAAGACAATGGGGTAAACTAACCGTTCGCTGTCGTCGGACCAGATGGTCATAGTGGCCTTCTCAAGAGCCTGTCCCATGCTGATGAGCGAGGTAGGGGGAGTGTGCTTGGGGGGGAGACCAGCCTCCCACTTGACACCAGCGCTCTCCTCCCAGACCTGGAAGACACGGGCATAGGTGCGCCAGAGGGTGGAGATGGCGGTCTTTCGGCATCCCTCGTATGTGTGCTCGGTGAAGGGAGAAACCTTCTCGATGGTCTGCTCGACGTATGTCTCGAGGTTGGAGCTGTTGCAAGAGTTGGAGATGACATCACCAAGGACGTCAAGGGCAATTTCCTGCTCAAGAGCGACAGCAGTCACGGCACCGAGATCCTCGAGGTCCTCGATATCATCCCAGTCCTCGTCACCGCCAGTGGCGATGGTGATATCGTCCTGAGTCTCGGGAGTCTTGACCTTGACACGCTTGCCACCAATAACGATGGCACCGTCGCCAAGCTGGCTAGCGTCAACACCAGGAAGTTCGATCTCCTCCTCCTCGAGCTCGAGAGAAGAGAAAAGACCCTTAAAGACACCGGGAAGGAAGTGATCGAACTGCTCGTGGTAGACCTTGGACAAGTTGGACCACAGGATGAAACTGGTCTCCTTAAGGCGGGGGTTGTCAAGGCCGAGAGCCTCCTCACTAGCAGACATGAGGTCCATGACATAGGGCTGGAAAGACTCAGAGCCGACGGCCATAGCGATGCGGCCCAAGCTGTCACAGGTGGAGCTTCGGAGGTCAAGAGACTCCTCACCCTCCTTGATAGAGACGAACTTGCCAAGAGAAGACATGACATCCTTGAAGTAAGGCTCAAAACCCTTCTCCATGGAAGAGGCGATAGCACCAATAGCAGAAGCAGCAGCAGCCTTGACGCCAAAGTCCTCGTGGTCGAGGAGACGAACCATAGGTCCAATCAGGTTGGGACCATACTGGGCCATGATCTTGGTGTCAATGCCGTCACCAAAGGTATCAAGGGCACCGCAAGCGCAGCGAATGATGCTAACATTCTTCTTGTCGGAGACACCCTGAGAGGCAGCCTCGAGGTTCTTGAGGACGGAAGCGATGATCTGCTCGTGGTGAGAAGACATCTCGTCGGCCATCTCCTCAGCGAGGTGGATCAGACCAACAAGAGAGGCATGTCGAACCTGGGTCTCGGAGTCCTCGAGGAGAGAGATGATGGTAGGGAGAAGAGGCTCGAGTTGAGTAGAGATGAAGTCGGGAGCACCCTCAGCAGCGTTACCGAGAGCGAGCATAGCCGCCATACGGAACTTAGGGTCGTTGTTGGTAGCGAAGTGGGGGAACTGCTCGAGAAGAGGAACAATAGCCTGTCGGGGAGGGAGCTCGTTGGACAAGGTGTCGATGAGGCTGATGGCGGTACGGGCAGGAGAAATGTCCTCCTCGTCATCATCGGCATCGAGCTCGGTCACAATGTGCATTGCCTTGACCATGAGCTCAGCGGCCATGTCCTTCATGCCCTGAATCTTCATGCGTCGGTAGCGGACACACTGGATGAGGAAAGCAAGAGCCTGAGATCGAGCATCCTCCTCCGCGTTGACGTTGCCGCCAAGCTCAATCATGAAGGTAAGGAGGTCACGGAGGTGAAGGGCAAGGAGGGAAGAGTCGTAAGCAATGAAAGAGTGGAAGACCTCGAAAACGATCTTGTAGCTCTCCTCATCCTCAGCCTCGACGGCAGCCTTGAGAATGTTGACCAGGCTGGGAACAAAGTTCTGGATGGCCTTGAGAGACTCGGGGTCCTCCTCAGGCTCGACGATCATGAGGATAGCACCAATAGCACGGACAATGTTGATGCGGACCTCCTTGCTCTGAGGGTCCTCAATGCGGGCCTGGAAGAGCTTGAGAAGCTCATGTGTGTGGTCGGCGAAGTGGGTAGGGTCCTCCTCGAGGATAGCGTAGAGGAGGAATGAACCAACCTCACGGGCAACAACATTATCGTTGTTGGTGAGAGGAAGGAGGTGTTTGAGAAACTCTTCACCCTCACCGTTCTCCATATCAGCGCTGACAATGCCGGCGATAAGACGGGCGAGGGAGTGGCGGACACCAGCGGAGGACTCCTTGAGGACACCCTCGAGAAGGTGGTTACGGGCGAGCTGTCGCTGGTCCTGGGCAGTCTTCTCCCAGAACTTGGGGATCAGACGAAGGGCCTGGACCGAGGCGAGCTGTCGGACACCGGTATCTCCATGTGTGAGGGAGATCTCGACGAGGGCGAGCAGCGACTCGGGTTGTGTGTAGAAGTTCTTCTGGAGCTCGGCGGTAACGGCCTTGACCTGCTCTGTGTTGGCTGGAGAGAAAAATTGTTAGTTTTGATGCTTGGGTAGCGAGGCAACAGATAGCAGCAAAGGAAAGCAGAGCTTGCCAGCTGTTTATCGTTGAAGTAGATGATAGAACTTACGGACTTGACTCCCTTCAAGGAGCTGAGCAAGCTTCCCCTTATCCATGATGATTTCTTTGTCGAAGCTTGAACGACAGAGAAAAGAAGAGAAAGAGAAAGGAAGGGGAAAAGAAAAAGAACCCGAAGGTTTATAGTAGTGAAGAGAAGGAAAGAAAAGAGTCGCGAGAGACCCGCGCCGAAAATTTTAAATTATTTGGGGTCCCCTCGAGTCGAGTCGAAATTAGCATGGAAGAGAAAAAAAATTCCCAGGCCCCGCTCTTGCAGGTGCACGCGCTGGTTGGTAGCGCCCACTGCCCAGCGCATGGAGCCCAGGGTCTGGTGTTGCCCCTCGTTTCTTCCACTTTTAGCGCGGGGCTTTTTGTGGTGATGATTTCCCTGACGGGTTAAGAAGACGCCGAATGAAGTTGTATGTAATTAATGCTCATGCTTGACCGCCTTTGGTGGGTGGCAGTGATGTGTTGTTGTCTTTTGTTTCGTCGGCCTTGTCTAGACTCGTCTTGTCTCTGGTGGATGGCATGTCTATTGTTGAAGCCTGACTACTCCAGGCATCGCTGAAGATGTCGGATAAATGCAACCTTGACAGCCAAGACAAGCCCTCGAGTTTGCTGGCACCGGCCGAGATGCTGCACTAGCTCAGGTGCATGGCAGCCATGAACCATGGCCAATAGTTATTGGCTGATAGGCCCATGATGACGTTGGTTGGTTGCTTGACACGCGTTAGGCTGATTGATACGCTCCCAGAAGTCTGGGTCTCGGATGCTTATCACCAAGCGATCAAATACAGCTTCATCCAAGAGTTGGTTGACAGTCTGTGGCACGAAATATTACTGCCATACTGCTATGAACTGACCAAGCAATGCCCAGTACGCGTCAAAGAAGATACCACTGCAACACTGACCCAGGCCATAGCCTGTACGTCACCAACCCTGTTCTTCAGACAGCTTCATAGCTCATAGCTCACTCCGGCTCAACTTGACGCAGCTCAACTGTTAGACAAGTCGCATCATTTGCCGTACCTGACGGCTACAACAGTTACCAGTGAGGCTTTGTACTCCCGTCCACAACGCATGATACGACGCGTTCAATCAACACTCTTCTTGCCAGGCACACAAATGCGATCATTAATCTTGAGAGCCTCGCAATTGAGGTCCGGATTCTTGTTCTTCAAGTCATCAACGCTCAATCCATTCTTGTTCGCAATCTCCCAGCATGTATCGCCTTTGTGAATCGCATACGCAACCGTGCCCTCTGGACAGTCCGCTATGGGAATACGCTCGTCCGACGAAGAACCCTTGTAGCCGAGGAACCAGAAGAGCAGGACGAGCGATAGGATGACGAGCATGAGAAAGTTGAGAAAAGGCTTCATCTCGGTGAACCACGTCATCTTGGGGCGTTGCTGCTGGCTTGTCATGAGGAAGGTCTCGGTCTCTTGACCTTCAGGACGAGCTTCGCCAACCTTTGTGAGCTGCCCGTACTCATTGCCAGGCGCGCTCTCCCAGTAGCTGCCGTCAGCGTCGCGGAACGTGTAGACCTGAGTGTCAGCATCGTAGCCTACTCTCTGCATGCCCTCAGGGAGACGCTCCTCGTCGGTATCGTATCGAGAGAATCGAGACATTGTGATTGATGATTATTGATTGGGATAGTAATTTGATGTGATTGATTAATAGAAGAAGGAGAAAGATGGAAGAGCTCAGGCTGCCTCCTTTGAAACATGGATATCACGTTCCCTCGCTTGTTCTGGGGACCGCGTCATGCCTTAGGTAAGCATCTTACAGGCATACTTCTTGAAGCGACCGACCACCCAAGCAGGCCAAGTTACCGAAAGCGGAAAATAGACAACAGACTATATGGATTACGACAAGTATCATCGGTCTTGATCAAACATCATGACTGCAGCCTCAAATGGTTGGTTGTTGGGATGTCAGCAACATGTTGACGCTGAGTCGTATGATGAGGTTTGACGCATTCTGGATATGCACTGGGAGTCATGCTTTTCACAATAGATGGTATCCATAGTTAAGGGTCATCGCAGCAATATCCCATGCTCTCGTATAGGGAGAGCAGTTTAAACAGAGTCCTATATCATAGCACTCTGGCTCACCTTACCTTGGTCTATCGCCATGTCTCTTTCCAGTAAGAACCGGCCGCCTTTCTTGCCAGCTCACATGTCTTTGCAGCACATCAAAAGCTGTATGAACCTACCTATCCAGAGGGACATACCTACCTACCTAATATCTGAGCTTGGAGGCGTACCTGCCAGGAGGAAAGCGACGATATCGTAGTGACTCTCTCCCCAAAGCAGTGATGGTGCCTCTTCTTCCATACGCAACCCAACAGCTCATTATCAACAGTCACAACATTACATCGCCCATCGCCTTGAGCTATCCCAAGTCATAAGTAATATCGCACAGCTTCTACAGACGTTCCCCGATCATCAATCACATTATTCCCATCAATACCTGCCATCATGGACAATCCACCTCAAATCCACGATCTGATGATCGTTTTCGACGCCGTAACAGGCGGGATGCCCGATGTCGCGGTGCTGAAACAGGCCATCCCGGACATCATCAACTTCGTGGCTGTCGCTGACTGCTTTGAACGTATTGGAGTCCTAGCCTATCGCAATTATACTTATAGTCCTGAGAAAGTGGTAGAGTGGTCAGGATGGTGCTATCCTTCTCATGACCCCGGGTATCCCAGTACAGACCACATACTCAGATTCGTTGAAACATTAGAGATGCCTACCGCCAATAAGTGCAAGTTAAATTGTGCTTCAAAAATGGCCCTTGCCAAGGCGTATCATGAGATGAAATCGAACTGTACTATCATCCTTCTTTATAACGATGCTCCTCCCCTGCTCGAGCATATCGGTGGGGATCATTACGACTTGGAGCAAAAGTCACTCGCAGGGTATGGTCAAGCAGGCCCCCGTTTCCGCAATTGGATCAATGTTGCCAATACTTTCGCGGGTATGGCTTTGGACAAGAACGCTGTGGTGCTTTCTTTCAGCCTTGGATGCCATGATAAAATCATTGATTGGAGCCCGTATCTCTATCTATCTTTCATGACAGGGGGCGAGCTCTATCGTACGAAATACACCAGTGTCTCTCGACTCACTATATGCCTGCTCCTCACTTGGATGCAGGCTGATGGAAATATCGACATACCACAGGCCCTCAGAACAACCTACAAAGCTAACCCATTACTGTCACATTCCCCTATCGAGGACAATATGGATACTTTTTGCGGCCTAGACTGTGGAAATCTCCAGCTTTCCGATACTCATACTGCACCACGCAACTGCCTCCGTGTCCCATATGGCGCTTTCAGCAACATTAACCAGCAGCTTAACAAATTTACCAGCAGAGACTTGGCCAATAACTACATTGCTCGCCCCATATCGTCCAAAGACGTCATAGCAAGACATATTAGTCGAATCATCGAGACCAACGTATCGGTCCTCGCTATCCATTCCCTATTCCAGCGACTTTGGGTCCATGTCTGTACGGACCGAACTGGTAGCTGGATAAAGAGGACCCTCAAGCAAAAGTTCGAAGCTGAGGTCCTTCTGATTTCCAATGACGAAGACAGGAGGCAAGTACAGGCTTGGTTGGACGAGGCGGATACCATCTTGCATGAGATGGGAGAGGAGATCTAAATGCCCGCGGACGTCAACCTCGGGGACAACATCCCACCCGAAGAAACCAAATGGTGTAGGTATTGTTTTGACAAGAATTCGATTCTAAAATCCCTATGCACAAATCCACGTTGCTTTATCAAAATGTGCACCAAGTGTGCCAATAATTGGTTTAGCGAGGAGATTCGCCTGTGCATTCATTGTAACAGTCCCTTGTTCTATTCAGATATTCCTACCAATTGATCTGGTGTATAAACTTTAGTAAAAAAGAGTTTACTGCCAGAAGGACAACTCTATCCCAGGTATAGATTAGAACTTCGCAAGATCGTAATTAAAATTCGAGCAGTCACGCTATCATGTATTGAATTATGGAGATATTGATTTCAGCATTGCCCATGGCAGCATAAGGTGAATCGAATTATACACTCAAGCTTAAGTCATCTTACAGCCTACGAGCAACCTCATACAATCGCTGCTCCTTGGCAATTTTGGTGCTATGCATATCGGTCCGGCAGTACTTGTAGTGGAGGACGTTCGAAGAGGCAGGGCATTGTCCATTCCCCATATCACACTCTACCAAGAAGGTATCTTATCTGACAGCCCTTGGATCTCTGATAAGTCTAAAAGAAAGGTCGCCGCATATGTCACGAATACTTTACTCAGTGGCGAGCAAGACCTCGGTCTGCCAAGGGGGTTTGAACTCTCAGCGTCGCCTCCTTTGGTCGACTTGACCAAGCTCGCAACAAATGAAGATCCCGAATGAAAGCGTTTACACATGGCTGCCATGGATGTAGCACCCATGATGCAACACGTCGAGTTCTACTCCCCCATACACAAACAAGCACCACCAGCGACATGGAATCTCTGGCTCCACTTGTCCAACAACGAACGCTGGACGACATGGGCACTCGCGTACATCAACGACGTCGCGCCCGCACTCATGATCGAGGGCTACTGGCTAACCGACTTGGACGCACCGGCTCCTGAAGATATGTTTGTACTTGACAAGATCTTTTGGATGCCAACGGTTTCGATGAGTTTAGATGTCAAGAAAGCCCTACCAAAGGAGGGTGAGGAGTGGTTGAGGATACGGATCAGTGCAAAAGTTACCAAGAATGGGAGGTATGATGCCGAGGTTACTGTCTATGATAGGGACGATGCTATCGTGGCGTTGAGTAATCATGCTGCGCTGATATTGGCTGGGGAGAGGAACTGGGGACGAAAGGCGAAGCTGTAGGGTGGCTCAAATTCGACGGATACATATTGCTGACGGAAGTTTTCCAGACTTACGAGACCTACCTAAGGATGGAATCAGGTGCTTCAATACAATGTCGGCTAAGATACTACACATTCGCTTTATCTCCAATTTCATTATCGTCTCGTGGGGAGCTCCTTGATAGTCTCTCTACGCTCAAACTTCGAAGGAGGTGTCCCAACAACCATTTGGTATTACGGAGTATACTCAACTGTCCAAGAATCAGCGCCAGGTAGGTATCGTATGAAGGCTATTATAGTGTCAATTATCAAATGGTCATCATTAAGCGTTCAGCTTTCTACTTTCATCCAATAATCCATTTGATTGAGGCTCAGGTTGATGCGAGCCGGGACGGGATGATTCTAGCGCCCGCTCCCCGCAATCAACCAACCATTCAGGGTGAAACCCGCTAAAGTTTAAGGCTATCAGCCGCAACGTCATGACGGGCCGCAACCTAACTCAATCTAAGACTCATGACCTGACGAGGTAAAATTCCAGTCAGAGCTTCCCTTCTCAAGGTCTCACCTTAATATCCAAAGAAATATGCATACATTCGTGGTGACACTCCATGTTAAACCCGTTATTTAAACCCTTTTCTTCATAATTACTTGACCTCCTGAGATGAGGCCTGCAATGACCCTCGATGCGGCCACAGCCCCCAAGCGTTTCCACTGCATCCACTCAATAAGCACTTGACCCAATTGAACCCTGGACTCTACAGCCCTGGGTGGCATCCCCTGTCCTTGTTAAGAAAGATGCGCGACTGCGAAGTTCAAACGAGGCTCTGCGCCTGTGGGTTTGCCCAGTTCGTTCTCCTTTCAACACTTATTCCGCCTTTTTCCACTTGTTAACGATGGCGACGCCTTGAGCGACTAACTACGCCGGAATTGGTTTACGCCAGTGCGAGACGATTGCTTCATGTCGCGTTGACCTCTGTCAAACTCAGCCTCCGAGCCCACGACGAGCAGGGACAGTGTGCCCATAATTGATTGCTGGACTGTCCGGCACTCAACGACTCCGCACTGCCGTTCTCCTACGTGGTACCAATCATCCTAAACCGAGACGAACGAACCGGTCGAGAGAATATTGCAACCTCAACACCATGGCTGAAGCAGACCCCGAAGTCGTGGTGGCCATCGTGGCTCTCCTCGTGTCTTTGGTTGCTCTGGCAGCTACCTTCATGCAGGTCATGCAACAATACTACGCCTCTGCAGCAGGATATGCTCAATGCAATGAGAAAGTCATGGGAAAATGGGCCCTCACAAAAACTCGTCGCTTCTCCTGGGACGAGCTTCGTTTCGAGGTCGAGTTCGAGGCCCCTGTGATTTTCGTCTCGCCCCCAGACAACCAGCATGGTCCAATTCGTGGAGCAGAGATATACTTTCTAGATGGAAGTCCTGAGAGTCTCGAAAATACGTGGTCTGAGCTGGACATCAATCCCAGAGAGGAATATGCCAACAAGACGAAACGAGAGCGTATCCATACTGCTGATAATGAGCGAGCTTCGTGGACATTGCTTCTCAGCGCCGTACAGCGTATGGAGCACGAGTCGGAGAAGTGGCAGAAGAGTCAATACGAGGGCATGCATAAACAAGTTGGGCCTCCCAATGCGCAGTCACAGCATCATGATCTTCCTACCAACCCTCCCAGTCTATACGAAGCACATACTATGACAGTTGCTCTTCAACGGAAACGTAAGAGCTGGGATACAATGCCTGCGACTGTTCTACGCCCTTACGCGACGACCACGATGTGCCATCTTATCGAGATGTTGGCTGCCCTCGGTATCTACTGGAAAGAATTCGACCGAAAGCGTGAACGTTACCGTGCTGAGGGCAATGGTTTTATGGTTATTGGCGAAAAGGTCACCGATCTCGGTTTAATGTTTACGTTCAGTATTTATGGGAGGAGTCGCTTCGAAGCAAATCGAGTGATCCCTGTTGACCAGGTGAAGGAGCTTTGTTTTGGCTATGTGTCGACGATTTACAGCGTGTTGTTGGACCAGCGACGACTTCGATTTCCTGAAGATGATCCAGAGAACTTGGCTTTCCTTCAGCTGGCGACTCGTGAGGAGATTTCTCAGACCCTCATCCGAATTGGATGTAACAACAATGCTGTCCGTGCTTTCCAAGATGCTGGCAAGCATACATCACATTTGTTTCCTGGTAGGTTTCTCTGCCTTTGATGGAAACACATATACTAATGGGTTTAGTCTCCTTCGAAATTCTCGGTATGCTGAGTCGCACTTTTCACATCAAGAACAGCATGTTCACCCATATTCCCAACCCGACATCAGATCGTTGGGATAAGCAATCGGTGTCATTAGTCAAAGTGATGGAAGCTTATGAGGACCTCGTTCCGACTTCACTGCCCGGAGCCCGTCGAAACCCCGTCATTATCGACAAGATTAAGAAGCACGTCGACCAAATTCTAGCCTTCAACAAGGACGAAAGCGTAACCGAGAAGATGTGTACTCTGAAGGCACTCCACGAAGCCATTGACGATTGCGATCAGATCTTGACAGCCAAGGAACCTAGCGGCACTGTTACCCCTTTTGCAGAGCAGTTGGGCATCAAGGTTTACGAGTCCGAGGTACAGAAGAAACGACGAGAAATGGTCCAAGATGTTTTACGATCGCACCTCCAAGAAGTCTTACGTCTACTGAACGACGGGGAAGACCGTTCATCCGAGACGCAATCTCTGCATGCTGAATGGAGTCCAGCTACACCGCATACGCGGCAGGATGGACAGCCTAGAGTTGCGCCCATCGGATTCGAGGACATGCACGAAGCCAGTCCTGATGAGCGACAGCACAAGTTTTTGGAAGTTTACTTCCACGTTATTCGTGAGAAGGTTATCCCTCGTGCTGCCCGTTCAACGGATCGCAGAACAAGCCTTGTTGGAGCGCCTGCAGGGTATGGTTTCCGTCGCGCAGGCACAGGTCGCACACAAGCATCCAGCATGCGTGGCATTGAACGAGCATCCTCGCCGCCTCCCCCCATGCCAGCCCCTCGTTTGCAAACCAGCGTGGAGAACATTCCTCTTGGACCCATAGCCAACGGCCGTCCCTCCATGTCTAGCAGACCTGGCAGTGCTGTGAGTGAAGCGTATTCGTTAGCAAGCGAGCAACCCAGACCCAGACTAGAGGCTGCATTGTATGAACAGGAGGTCTCGCATGATGATGTTTGGTGTACGCTGATTTTCCGCATGATATGCTGGTTAATGTTACACGACTTCAACAAGTTGGATGTACAGTTGAGTAAAAGTGAGCTATTGGGAAGCCGTATGCCAGTTTACATATCATGATACATTGGATGAGTCGATATTTGGAAATGATTGGACGTTAGCGAGGGGTTTGGATTGATATCATGATAACAGCGTATCGCGATATTGGGAATACCACAAAAAGCGAATGTCAGCGATATTTGGTTAGCACGTTAATATAGAATGGATCACAATACACTCATCGAAGAAGGCTAGGAACGAATGACCCCTGTGTCAACTAAAGACTCACCGTCTGTTTCAATACATGATCCAACATTCCTCAACCGCATCATGAGGACCCAGCTCTAGAATCGGCGAAACGCCCAACAATGCCCCGATCGGACCACCCCCGCATCCAGTGTCGGTACCCGTCCGGTACAGGAAATCCGGATAAGCCGAGCGGATGCCTTGATTGGCAGCCTGACTAAGTCGGAATCGGAGTGCACGTGAGGTTGGATCGGAGGTGAGATTTTTTACAGTAAGCCGTGTGGCGAGGACTCGGCGGTGACCGTGGATAAGGATTGGATGGCCGGGAATGGAGTCGGCGAATGGTGGATTATGATTTATCATGGAGACAGAGTTATTAGGAGAAGGTTTGTTGTGAATAGATTCAAGAAGGGATGGGTTATAAACAAGGGGCGTCAGCTAATAAGTCACAGAACCTCAGTCAGCTGAAAACTATGATCGAGTACCCAGAGTAGAGAAAAGGAGTCGCTACTACTGCACAATATTATCTCCTATTTTATTGGACTGCTCCCTTGGATCCATCTTGATCCCATTCGGGTTATCCCTTGACGGAGATAAGCATAACAATAGAAGCTGGAGTAGAACCCAATACAAGTCCAATTCATTGTTTCGTGTAATCGATCTATTCCTTCAATGTTCCAGTCTTATTGTCAAACCCTCCGGGTTCCAGCACAGACGAGGAGATATCACGTGAGGTTGCCTGTTGCAACCTGGGCTGAATACCATCACGGGCCTTGGTTTCTAGCACGGAGGATTCAGTGGAACTTGCTAGCCTAGACTCTAGAGCTCGATTTGGACCGTCGTAAACCTGTTGGCAATCGACCAAGGCGTCTGTCAAATTAAAATTCAGGGCTGACTAACTCTCGAAACCTGTCTCTGTCTTGAACTCATTCCAGCACCCGTCGCGTCGCCGGAGCCGTGGTTCGGCCGTAACCGTACTTGTCGTAGAGCCAGGTTCCTTCCGTTGTTTGACCAAGGCAACGCACGCTCCGAATAGCGTCTCGCTAGACCGGGTATGGATGTACAGCACAATCACCAACAGACGGTCCTTTCCTAGTTCCCTATCCTATCCTGCCTCTTTCGAACTCCGTCTGCTGCTGTGATGAGGTTGCAACGACGTGCATAAAAGTACCCTTTTTCACGATCACCTCCAAAGTCGTGTTGGACTCGTGCGGAGAGGTACTTTAACTCGTCCAGTGTCATGTTCCCCTTCCCCAAGCACGACCACATTTTGACCCAATCACGGCCGTTGTGACACTGGCTAGACCCTGTCGAAGTCTGAGGAAAGCACGCAGGGCCAACCAGTCTACAGCTGCACTATTCCCCAATGGGACTAGCCGTGAAAATGGAGAGTCCACATCCACCTTGGCCCGAGAACCAGAGACCAACAACTCCTCCGTCACATCAGCCTGCACCACATCTTCTCTCTCACCAAAGCCTCGTCAGCAAAACGAAGCCCTTTCCCCCCAAGACAGAGAAGGGCCAGAGACACTGAATTATACGGGCGACGGTTTCTTTTTTGTTTCCTTTTGCCCCTTGTTACTTCGTGTCTCGTTTTTGCTTCTTAATTATCCTCGTTTTCTCTTGACCCTCCTCGCCACACTCCCTTGTACACTCCCCTTGCCTTGCCTCCCCAGCCTCAAGTGCACGCGTGCTCGCTCAGTCAGATAGCCTTACGACCCTTCGTTCCGCCGCCCTGGCTTCCGCGTCTCCATCACCTTCGATTTCCTGTGTTTAGACCGTGTCGTCTCCTTTCCGGTCTCGGGCCTGAGGTTTAGCCTCATATCGAAAGCCCTTCGCGTCCGTTGTCGATATCCGTCCCTCTTGTCGACATATCTCAATAACGACCATATTGTCGCAGAAGTTGCCGGCACCAACAGTCTTCCCACTCGATCGAGGCCAGAGAGTTTGATGCCAGTGGAGTAAAAGCTCGAAAATACCGAACCCTGGAGACCTGGCCGTTAGACAACCAAAATTGAGTTCCGGTGAAGCACCTGCATGTCCGGCACAAACACATCTCCCCTTCCGCGTTTTCTGCTCCCCGCGCGGCTTAGCTGTTACAACAGCACGTCTCTGATACTACGACCCTTGGAGCTCCGCAGTCAGTCTTGATACTAATCCCATCAAGACTGCTAAATCGGAACTCGTCCTTAGCCTTGTGCATTTGACGGATGAACACAAACACGCACAAACACCGACCGCATCATGACACCATCCCCAGCAACTAGCCAGGCTCTTGAGCCTCGTCACCCCAAACCTTCCCAAACAGTATCCGTCAACATCTCCGAGGGGACCCAGAACCGCTCCCGCCGCTTCCAGCTCGAGGTGAGCGAGTGTGTCGAGACTAAGACTGTTACGACCACTACTCGTCTCACGCGAAAGTTCCCTCAGGTCTTCGTTCGTGACCCTGTACCTCTGGAGAATCTAGACACAAAAGAGTATCCTCTCGCCATGAAGCCTACTCCCCCAGAACTGATTAGGTTCTCGTATAATATGCCAGGTGCCATTGAAACTGACGATGAAGTTGAAGATGAACCCATAGATAACCAGGTTAGTTTTCACGTTGTGCTTACTTGCTGTTTGCAACTACTCTGAAGAACAGACCATGCTGACATCTACACAGTTATCCTGCAATGCTCGTTCTACCCCCACTCAGCTTAAATCCGAGTCCCCTCAAGAATCCAACCTTGTCCGGATGCCCAAGCATCGATCACAATCCCCTTCAGAAGGATATCCTCGCCGTTCCCGCGCTTCTAGAGCTACCACCACAGATTCCCCCGAATCTTCAGCACCAACTTCGAATCCTCGGCGACCTGGCCGTTCTATTCCCCTGAACGCCGTATCGGATAAACTTCGTCGCTCCATCGCCCATAATTCGAATCGACAAGGAGAGAGGTCATCCAGACCTTCTGGGGGCTTCCTTGCTACTCCTGATACTTCGGAGGTCGTTGGTGCGGCTGAGAGATCAGCTCGCCGACGCTCGTCACACCATGAACGAAATCAATCACCCGAAGCATCTTCCTCGGCTGTCAGCCCTCAATACGAAGCCACTAGCCCTGTAGAGAGTGATTCACATACTGTCTTTAGCAGCAATGTCGCTACTCCACCAATTACTGATGCTGACGCAGAACCATTCGCTGATGCTGATGGATCTTTACAACAACCCATCCGTCCCTTTAACCCCCGTCCCAGTATCGATGTCGTTGCCGCACAAGATGCTAGTCTTCCTAGTCCCAGACTGTCGCCTACCTTGGCAGCCGCTCAGCTACATACTGCCGATGACGAAGATGAGACACAGCCTAGCTTCCAAAGCTCGAACCTTGATCCCTCAAGATGGCTTGATGAATCACAGCCAATGGAAGATGATTCCATGACTGCTCTCGTTCGCTCTGGCCATTCCCAAGATGATTACGCCCTTGCTCGCACCGATGGTGCTTCCCAAGGTGTGGATTCCCTACAAGTCGTCGACACACAAACACTCCTCGAGGCATTCGACTCCATGAAAACTGAAATGAAGACATTCATGATGTACCAGTTCCTTCGCCGGTGTCCTCGTCCTACCCTCCGCGTTGTGGCCAACGCTGTGAACCCAGCTCTAAAATGCGATTTTCTCCGACAGTTACCCCTGGAACTTGGATATTCTGTTTTGTCTCATCTCGATCATCGAGACCTTTGTCGAGCTGCACAAGTCTCAAAGCACTGGCGAAACATTGTTGATCGTAATGAAACAGGGTGGAAGGAACTGTTTGACCGAGATGGCTACACCCTCCCACCTGGTGAACTCCAGAAGGCTATCATTCAAGGTTGGGGCTGGCAAGATCCTGTTGGTGCAAGTGGATACGAAAAGGATTTGAGCATGCGAACCCGGTTGACTTCAACTGAGCATGAGCTTACCCGGACTCTTCGACAAGAGACAGCCTCCAAGTCTCGGGCTTCCAAGCGCAAGCGGGCGATCAACACTTATTCGGCCGAGCGATCTAAGCGACGTGCCAGTGCACAGGAAGCCGTGGCTCGTGAAGAGAACAAGTCGCAGCCCGAGGCTCGTCAACACAAGTCGGAAGGACCACTGTCTGCCGCGAATGCTGCTGCTACAGCTGTCCCTGATCCCCAGCTTGGACTGCCTAGTCTTCGCGAGCTACATCTATATAAGTCGCTTTACCGCCGTCATCATATGATCCGTAAGAGTTGGACCAGCGGCGAGGTCAAGCCTGGCCACGTCGCGTTTGCAGCTCATCCTCGTCACGTTATTACGTGTCTCCAGTTTGACGAAGACAAGATCATTACAGGTAGCGACGATACGCTCATCCACATCTACGATACCAAGACAGGCAAACTCCGCAAGAAGCTTGAAGGTCATGAAGGTGGTGTCTGGGCACTACAGTATGAAGGCAACATGCTGGTGTCTGGCTCTACTGACAGATCTGTTCGCGTCTGGGATATCGAACGTGGCCTTTGCCAGCAGGTATTCTACGGACACACTAGTACTGTCCGTTGCCTGCAAATCCTGATGCCCACCGAGACTGGGAGAGATTCCAGTGGACAGGCCATCATGCAGCCCGAGAAGCCTCTCATCATCACCGGCTCCAGGGACAGTCAGCTCAGGGTCTGGCGACTTCCCGAGGTTGGGTCTCGCCGATATATCCAGACCGGCCCCCCAGCTCATGAATCCGACTGCCCTTACTTCATTCGAGTGTTGGCCGGACACACGCATTCTGTTCGCGCCATTTCCGCTCATGGTGACACCCTCGTCAGTGGATCCTATGACAGCACTGTTCGAGTTTGGCGTATCAGCACCGGTGAGGCTCTCCATGTGCTCCACGGTCACTCTCAAAAGGTTTACTCTGTCGTCCTCGACCACGAACGCAATCGTTGTATCTCAGGCTCGATGGATTCGCTGGTCAAGATCTGGGATCTTGCCACTGGCGCATGTCTGTACACTCTCGAGGGACATAGTTTGCTCGTCGGTTTGTTGGACCTCCGCGATGAGCGACTGGTGTCGGCGGCGGCTGACTCGACTCTTCGTATCTGGGATCCAGAAAATGGCAAATGCCGCAATACGCTCATGGCGCATACTGGGGCTATTACCTGTTTCCAGCACGATGGCCGGAAAGTTATTAGTGGCAGTGAGAAGACGGTCAAGATGTGGGATGTCCGAACTGGCGAATGCGTTCAGGACTTGTTGAGCGATCTCAGTGGTGTTTGGCAAGTCAAATTTGACGAACGACGATGCGTGGCTGCTGTCCAGCGCGATTCACTCACCTACGTCGAGGTATGTTACAACGCAGATAAGTTGGAAGCAACAAGTACTAACATGATGCAGATTCTTGACTTTGGAGCTGTCCGAGACGGCAAGCCACCAGAGGAACTTGGCAAGCGTATCCTTCTCAACGAGCCCGAGGTTCGAGCAATGATTGAGGAAGAAGCTTAATGCAATCACATTACGGATGAATGGATGACGGACCACGCATATAGGCAATATGTTTTTTTATTCGCAACGGGTCGTTCTACACGGGCAATCGATGAGACAACGGCGTTGAGGCATCGTATATTTACGCATAAACAACACACATAGTTACGAAGTACCAGCATGAAACGGGCGGGCGGGCGTTTGTTGCTATTGGGATGGATGCATGCATATACCTATTGTTTTTTATTCAGAAGTTTGATACATGTCATGGAGGCTCAGGGCAGACAGAGGTTCAGTCCAACCTTTTGCCTCGCGATGAGTTGAAAGATATATGAACAAAAGCCATGCTTAGGGGTTCAGCATGCGGTTATAGGAGTCAATGAATTTGGTACACTTTATCGAGCCTCAATCCGTGATGTCTGTGAATGTTTGTCCGAAGATTCCGTGGTGCGGTCGTGTTCCGCTGATGGTGATACAGGCTACAAAGGATCCTGACCATTCGAGGTCAAGGAATGAAGATCGAAGGATTTCTGGGTCGAGTGGTGGAGATGGACTAATCGTAAGCGTACACGAACAATTGCACATTTTACGGTTTTTCCATTAAGAGCCAAGTAGTAGAAAACAGCTACTGTCATGGCTGATGCTGAATTGGCTCAACCATTGACTTCGTGAAGCTCGAAATTAAGCTTGTTTGTTGAACCGTTGGTAACCTAACTTAAAGCCCATCCCGGTCCCGATGATACCGAGCTGAAAGCAAGGGTTCAGTTAGCCCAGGCTGACTTGCTTAATATCCTTGTTTGTGGGTTACAATAAAAAGCGCGCATCTGATGTGATCAGATCTAGAGACAATGCTCCGCGAACTAAGAAGCCTTAGGAGGCATCATAAGGAATGCAAAAGACCAAAACATGTAATTCGAAGGTTGCCTAAGCTTATACAAACTTGTTCATCCAAGACTCCAGCCTCTTACGATAAAGGTCCTAAGTTTCCTTTCTTCTCAAGCCTAGAGGAGGTATCATATTGCCTCATCTGGTCAGATCAGCGCAGGGCGTGATCGGGTTTTATTGTGACCCATCTACATCTGACGTGGGGAGAGTATTTAGGCAGTCAGGTCCCCTCATTCCCTGGATATTGTGTTACTCAGGATTGAAGAAGAGATACAATGGCTTGGCTAAAGGACTTTGTTGGCAAAGTGGGAGAGGAGTATAAGAAACAGGTTCAGTTACAGCAGCAGCAACAACAGCAACAGCAAAGGCAGAGAGAGTCAGGGTATTATGGACAAGGAACGAACCAAGGATACCAGCAGGGAGAACATGAGAGGGGTTCATCTTCAGGATGGCAGCAGCAGTACCAGACTGGGCAGCCTCAGTATCAACAACCTCAGACTCAGTACCAGCCTCAATCACCGCAATATGGACAGCCTCAGACACCACAGTGCCAACCTCAGCAGCAACAATATCCCCCTCCACCATCACCATACCGTCCACCGAGTGCTCAACCCTCTCAAGCACCTTCACAAATGTACACCACACCGCCAACAACACAGCCAGCTTCACAAGCTTACCCTCAGAGTCCATATCCCCCTCAGGCACATACCCAACAGCTCGAAACCCAATGGCGTGAAGCAGAGCGCCTCGCAGCGCATTACAAAGCAGAGTATGAGGCTCAAATGAAGAAAGCTACAGAGGATCTCGCCAACATGCGAATTGAGCAAAAGAAGCAGGCCCAGGAGCTAGAGAAGTTGAGAGCTGAGGAAGCGAGGAACTATCAACTTGCGGAGGAGGAGCTGGTGAGAGAACAGCAGAGACTGTATGATGAGATACAGAAACAGAGACAAGAGGTGGAGAGACCACCGTTGCCGCCGAGGATAAATACGGACGTGGAGGATGCTGCACCACCTTTACCGAGAAGACCTGTTTCTACAGCTGGGAGTGTGAGTCCTGCACAAAGACCAGTATCGTATGCAGACCCGCCAGCTCAAAACTCGTATCTTTCGCCACAGAGCCAGACACAGGTGCCTTCTAGTCCTTCGCAAGGCTATATACCACCTCCTCCACCCGGACCTCCTCCTGCTCATGCTACGACCCAGGTTCAGCCGCAATCTGGTGGGTATTTGTCCCCTACTTCCGTGCCTTCGGAGCAGGCTTCGCAGCAGACACCATACTATCCTCCACCACCGAGCCCTCAAGTACAACCTTCTCCAAGAGTTCAGGAGCAAGCAAGTCAACGGAACACGTATCACGCACCAGCTCCAGCGACTCCCCAGCCGCAACAGGCGAACACCCCATCATATCCACCACCACCACCTGTTCAAATTCTACCTCAACAACAACCTATCGCTCAACCCAAACCTGTCTCTGCACCGAAGCCTCCTCGTGTCAGAACCCCTGAGCCAGCACAGTTGCATGCCTGCGGTGCAAAAGTAGGTATCGAATGCTCAGGCTCACTAACATCCTTCCCCCAACACTGGTTCTATCATGCTGCTGTGCCTGAGTTCGTTATCTGTGCTCGCTGCTATGTAGATCTTATCTACGACACCAAATTCCGGGACTCGTTCCGAAAGGTCTTCTACGACGATGGACATAAGCGCAGATGTCGATTCAACACCAGACGGATCAAAGATACCTTACTTCCCGAAGCCGTTGAGTCTGGTAGTCTTGATAAACTTGTGGAGTTTATGGGGAGGAGAATTAGTATCAAAGACTGCAGAGAACAAAACATCACCGAAGGAGAGTCGTGGTACAAAGCAGCTGACATTCCAAACGGGACAATTTGCGAAGCCTGCTTCGAGGACGGTCTCATAACTTCATCCTTTGCCAAGTATTATCAACTCTTACCCAACGAAGGTGGTGCCTATTGCGATTTAAGCGTATGGTTCTTGAAACGCAAGTTCATGGACTATGCGAAAGAGAACAAATGGGCCCAATTCTGTCAAGAGTTCAACCAGCGGGCACAAATACCAGATTGTCCCAAGATCAATACTATCAACGCCAATGAGCGTGTATGGTATAAGCCTATCAATGGACCGAGGAACCTACAGGCTTGTGCAGCGTGTTATCATGATTACTTCTATGCTTCTGAAGATCAGGATAAATGGCAGCAGGTCGCTGGAGGAAACTTCGAAACCAGGTGCATTCTTGGGCAGTTGAACCACATCATTCCAATGCATCAGGCACTGGATGATGAGGATAGAAGCCTCTTTTGGAATGCAGCGTGGGAGATGGACAAGTATCCTGTTTGTAATAGGGAGGGAACGATGGGAAGTTCGTGGTATACTCCGATCAACGATCCTCCGAGCTGGGGAATATGCGCGGCGTGCTATGAAGGCATCATCAAACCAATTGGAGGCGCACGATGGTTCATGAAAGACAACACCACCAAGCCAGACGAATTGTATCTATGCGGTTTCAGCCTGGGTCATCCACGAGCGATTCAGGCCCTCGAAGCATATGTCAGCGCACGAAATTGGGGAGATAGCAAGCTCTTTATCGACTGGACTGCGCAATGGGGCCATGTTCAACAATGTCCAAGGAGGAACTTTAGCAAGAATAGACGATGGTGGGGATGGGGAGTCTTGGAGATCTGTGAAGATTGCTATGCTTCTGTTGCAAAAGGCACAGCACTTGAGCCTCGGTTTGCACTCACCGGCGTGAGAGAGCCAGAAAAGGAGCGCATGTGCGATATCTACTCGCCACGCATGAGAGGTCTATACACCGAAGCCTGCAGAACTGGGGATCTAGAAGGTCTCTTGGCTGTTGCAGAGCAGAGACATATTGTCTATACGCAGACAATCATGCAATGCGAGCAGATCCTCAATCAGCAAAAGATGGCAGCCATGCAGGCGCAGACGTTGGGCATACAGGGTACATTTTATAAGAGCATGGGATGGGCTCAAGATGCTACTATGGGACATAGCTATACCGTTGGAAACTCGTATGCTGGGTATGGTCATGCAAATGAATGGGTTATGCAGGGGTATTCGTACGATAGACAGTCGAGAGAGGCTGCGGCGGAGGTCATGAGCGGAGGGCCTCTTATGAGGGTACAGATGCTTGAGGCGAGATGGCGGGAGGTTGAGTAAAGAGTATCAATATATGACGACGCTCTCGATGAATGATGACTCTAATAGTAAACTTACACACATGTCAAGGTCAAATTCTGGTTCATAACTTTTCTCCGTAGCGTACATATATCCAACTTACAGCCCATTTTAAACGCCTAGAATACCAATTCCCAAACATCCAAAGTCGAAGTTCCCATCTTGAGTCCCATCCCCGACGCCGCCTTTCCAAGAATCAAGTATTTCCCATCCCAACTAAACGACGCCGCCGTGACAAACCCGCTCTGAAACTTGATCGTATACAGCACTCTCCCCGAGTACATATCACTTACATCAACACCGTCATCTGTTCTACAGCACAGGAAGCGACAGTCCGCCGATACAGCGATGGGCCATCCCTCGCGTGTTCTTCGCCCGCTGAGGTTGTACGACTCGAGCGCTGCGGTGCCGTGATTCCAGTGGAACACCGTGTCGCCCCATAGCGAAACGATGACTTCTCCATCGGGCGATGTCCCGAGGAATACGGGCTTCTTCCATGTATCGGTCTCGAGCTTGGCGATCGATGCGCGGGTTTTTACGTTGGTTATGCGAATCGTGCCGTCGCGAGATTGTGTGATGAGAAGCTTGCTGTCTGGTGTGAAAACCGCGTGTGTAACCTCATCCATATGACATGGAATCACAACGCTTGCCTTGTTGACATTCGCACTGCAGTCCATGAGCCCAACCCGACCTCTCGTGCTCCCCACCGCAAGCCAATTCCCGTCCTGCGAGAACGCAAGTGGCTTTCCACCAGGCCACTTACAAACCGCGATTTTCCGTCCATTGATGTAGTCGCCAAGGTACACAACCGGTTTCTTGAAGTTGATGCCATCATGGCTCGCCGCATTGAGACCCTTGCCGTCTTCCTCGCTGAGATATGCCCACTGCCGACCATTGCGCGAGAAGATCATGTTGACGCCGTGCTGGTTCTGCAAGCAGGACACTTGATTGGCGCTTATGTCGTAGAAGCGCGTGGGAGACTCGAGGGTTGAGATTGCGATTGTGGGGGCGTTGTGGCGAGATACGTAGGCGGTTTCGACGACTTCATGGTTGGAGAGTTCTTTCTTGGCGAGGTGGCGGAGTGAGATGCGGAGGGGCGTTGTAGAGGTTATACCGATGGCATTGTAATCCGGAATAGGCGGCTCATTCGTCTCTGAGTGAGGAGACGACGCAATTGTTCTGAGAGGTTAATATAATGAGAGGTATTTGTGAGAGGGGACGTACTCTGGATGGACGATGCTGCTGTTGCTGTGGTCTCGACTCTCGCCGTCATCAATTGGTGGTGGAGCAGCCGATGAGCTTTCTGAGATAAAGTCTTGAGTAGCCTCGATGAATTCTGTGATGATTGATCGTTGGCTCTCAACGCGAGGGTCTTCGCTGTCTGACTCTTGGAGGAATCGTGAGCGGATAGTTGATGCCTCTTGAAGAATCTGAGAGCTGCTGTAGCCGGGAAGCTCTCTCTCACCATCATGAGGCTGAGAGTTGATAGCCCTATGAGAATGTTAGTGAATATCTTATAAAATGGAATGAGGGGAACTTGCAGTAACACACAGTCGAGTCCTAGACTCATGGCACTTCTCAAACCCTCAAGCAACTTTGCAAAGGGCGACAACCTCTCGGCAGTATGTTCCAACCACGAGGGCGTCCTCTCCTCTGCCGTCCTTCCCGTATCCAACGCGTCATCCGCCTCCTCCAACAACTCCCCAGCCTCACTGACAACCCCCTTGATCGCCTCATCCAACCGTCCCGGCAGCGGCGCGCTTCCGGACTCCAGGGCCTGGGCGTTGTGATGCAGCAGCCTCGCTACCATCTGCAGCTCCGCGAGCTCCCGGGACAAGCTAGCGAGGTCCAGCCTCGCCTGCGGATAATACGTGACGAAGTTGCGCAGACCATCTACGACATGTGTCGTGGAGGTCTGCAGTGCGGCGCAGAGGGAGGATATTGAGGACATGGTTTGTTCTACTGGATGTGATTGATGATGTGAGGTTGCGTTACGAATGCCGATGCCGACGGTGCGGGATAATTTGGTGGAGACACTACGGATATCCGGAATTGACGCGGGGAATTGAATTGTTACTTGCTTTTTTCTCAATTGTTGATTATTAAGATATTAGATGTCATGTCTATTGTTGACATGTAGGAATTGGATCGAATTGGGGGCTTTAGTGACTGGATTGAGATGACATGATCGACTGTGGTATCTGGGCTAAGAAAGATCCGGGGCTCAATTAGTTCGATGGGGTGATTGAGTCGATGAGGCAGGGATTGCGCAACTTTAACGGTCTCAAGTTGTAGGGTATATACTCTCTGCTTGTTGAACGTTGAACGCAGCATCTCCGGCTGTTGCACATAACCCTCTGAGAACTGTAGCCTTCAAGTTACACTCAAATTCTCATGACTCGGTTCATATCGGAAGTCTTGATGAGCACTTGAGTGTTACCTACGTATTTGCCAAGACAAGCTCAAGTTGCGGGGTGAAATCTTGGGGACCCCGACAATCGGACCAGACAGAGCCTGACGTTGACTGACAGCTCAAGAAACATGGATGAGTTAAGACAAAGCCACCACAAACAGGATGAGCTATTGAAATAAGACAGAGTCGTAGTGAACCACGACACGAGACATCAAGTGGAGCAAAGGTCAGCAATTAAGTAGACTACAACCAACATATCCCGTCTTGAGGCCTTCAACGCAGCTTTTCCTGTTTATTTCACTCAGGACAGGTCTAGGGTGAGCCAAGCCCGCCGATCAGTCCCATACAGCCTAGACAGCCCATACCATTCAGAGGAGCAGAATCTGCCACGGGAGGGCTAGACTAATGATTGCCTTTCCTTTTTCTCCGTAGGGGACTAGCCTGGGGAGACTGCCACATGGCATCGTCTGCTTCAATCCGAGCAACTGTCTCGTCTTGGGTTGGTTTGTTGTTATCGACCCATGCGTTTCTTTGGGCAGAGACGACGAGGTATTATTTCAAATTGTGGCAGTGAGTGATTATTCGAAGCTGAGTATGATGGATGAGAGTTTGCTTTGCCACAGGCTTATGTGGCCTTGACAAAAAAGATATCTGTTGATGGTACTCATCTGTAAGCGTCTGACTTACGAGTCGAGACCATCCGCCGTGGGAGGAAGTGTGACAAGGCCAGCTGAAAGAAAGACAACAAGAAGAGAGGAGAAGAGACTAACATCAGCCACAGAAGTCGTTGGCTAAGTGTGGCTCAGCCATTGATTGGGCTTGACCTCAACTTCATGCTCTCTTTCATCCCCGTGACCAACACAAAGAGGGAACATCCTGGCAGGTCGGCAACACAAGATCGACGGCCCAGCATAACCCTTCACATCTCGCCTCGTACGGAAACGCATCCCCGCATGGCCGGACCAGCCATCTTCTTTTCTTCCTTCCTTCTCTCCCAGGTTCTCCTGCTTCTAGTTCCTCCCCAATTGTCGGTATCGAGAGACTCGATACCACCTACGTAGTGTGCAGGCGGGCATACGCCCTGTCGATATTTGATAGGGTGCCAGACAAACCACATGTGTGATGCGAATTGGCGCGCGCTGAGAGCCTTAGCGGGCCTCGACAGAGAGAGGGAACGAAAAAAACAGGGATGGGCCCTGTTGGGCATGCCATGCACAGGCGCCTGACGAAGGAGGTGGGCTTTTTGGCCAATCGGCAGAGACTCCAGGTGATGGAGGTGAGACGATATGGGCGTCAACTTGCGAGAGGACTGTGATTTCGGTATCGTGTTGGAGATTCAGGTTTGTCTACGGAGTACATACAAGATACAGCAGAGTCTCATGAGTGACACGATATGTACGGATACCGAGGGAGAGACTCTAGGAAGATACAACGCTCGTCATACCGTAGTGTTGAAAGATGGACGGGCAGCACAGTTGAGTCAATATCTTGATCACATCTTCCCAAATCTCCATCTGCAATGCGATGCGGGATCCAACTGTAACACGACCTCATCATCGTGCAGCTTGTCACACTCTGGGCCTATTCGCTTACAGCTACTGTGCCTGAGAATCGCTATCAGCCAGTTGCTCTCGATATTCAGCCAATCCGTCATTTAACAGCCCAACCCATCCATCCATCCCTTCCAATCCATGCCATGGTCTCTTCTGCCGCCTTAAGGACAAACCAAACTCAAACCGATGTACCGTACATGTTGATTTGAATGCACCTTCTGCATGCCCATCTGCCCACGGGGGATTTATTTGATTCGATACCTCCTGTATAACCACTTATCAACCCCTTTTCCCCCATCCTCTTCCTCTTTTTTTCTTCTTTATCCTCTCTCCCTCACCTTACTCTTGCCCTACTCTTCAAAATCTGGGATTACCCTGTCCCTCTTACTCCCGGGTTTTCCTCACCGACAAATCCACCGCCTCCAACAAGCTTAGCTTTTCCACTTTCACCTGTTTTCCCCTCCAGCTCCAGCTGCCTCCCAGACCAAGACCCTTTTTTCTCTTTGTCCATTTCCATCAAGTGGACCGAACTCTCTGTTCCCCGGCGCCACCGCCTAGAAAAACTAACTTACGTGCTCCGTCTCTTGAGCCACAGCGAGCTAGTCCCCTGCAATTGAACCCCCGGAGGCCGCTGTACCGCAACGCTCTGGGCTACCTCTTTCAGTGGGTTATGCCGGGTACGGTACAAAGCAAGGAACCTGACCGACCTCATATTTTTCTCGGATTACCCATTTCTCATCTCTGTGTTCCCCCCCGCCCACTTTTTTGATCTCTCAAACTCACCCCCACTGCGGATCAACCTCAGCTCATCCATCCATTCCAATTCCCACCGCGGGAACCGGGAAAGCGTGAATCATTTATTCCATCGCGCTCCCTATTTCTTGTAAAGGGGATCCTAGTCCTTGATCGGATCGTATCCTTCAAGAACGGGCTGGGCATTGTGTTTGTGCTTGCCCTTGTCCTTGTATCTACCTCGTCAACTTCGTTGCGGTCTGAGTCTTGAGTCTGTCGCATTGGCAAGCATCAGCTCCTTATATTGTCCTGTCTCGTCTGTCTGTCTCATTACGATCCAGAGATAGACATTCCGACAGACAAATAGAGAGAGCTGGCCTCCTCCCTTGGACATATATCCCGCGCATCTACAGCTCTTGCTCTCACCCCGTCGCACCTTTGCGACTTAGAGCAGGAATACGAAACCTACACCGCTGCCCAACATGGCGCTCGAACAGACAATCACCATTGTTAACAACTCCGGCAAGATTATCAAGACCGTTCGTCGTCCCTTTGCGCTTGCGCTCTCCAACCTTGGCTAACAATTCCCAGGGCAAGCAGCTCTTTTCCATCTTCAAGGAAGCCCAAGGCAACTACAAAGACAAGAAGGCAGAGATCAAAGCCCAGCAGGGTGTACAGCGCTCTCAATCCTTCGACGTCAATGCTCAGCCTCAAGCCTTTCCTGTAGAACACTTTCACATCGATGATGACCGCTCCCGATATTATCCTCCTCGCGCAGGTGACCAGCGCAGCGAAGCTGGGTCACAACGCAGTCGCCGATCGCGAAGCGTCCACTCGCGACACCCCCGAGAGGACTTTGCCAGTCGCCGTGCGCTGACTCTTGATAACCTCGAGAGACACACCGAAATTTCTGCCACAGCCCCCAGCAAAGCTCCCACCCGAACTGTATACAAGGAGATCCCCATGGAGCTTGCCATGCCTCAGCGCAGCATGGCTACCTCTGCCTACGGCGCTGGCCCTATGGTCCCCCGAAACCGATCGACCGGAGAACTAGTACAGATGAGGCCGCGCAAGGAAATCGACATGGACCTCGCCTATGGAAGCGTTCCCCCCGATCTGAAGGACCGCACCGATCTGGACCCGCAGTACTATGATGAGAAGCAGGCCATGGGTCTTGTTCACCGCGTTGAGGGTCTCTTAACCGAAGCCAAATGTATCCACCATTCGGCTACAACGACAATGGCCGAGCTCCAGAAGAACCCAGACCACGCGGCGGCCGTTGCACTCTCGCTTGCTGAGTTGTCAAAGATGGTCAAGAAGACATCGCCCGCTTTTCTGGGTCTTCTCAAGAGTGGATCGCCAGCTGTCTTTTCTCTCTTATCGTCCCCGCAATTCTTGATTGGCACGAGTATCGCTGCTGGTGTCACTGTTATCTGCTTTGGAGGATGGAAGATCTTCCAGAGAATGAAGGAGGAGAAGGCGGCACGAGAGGCCCTGGCGTATGAGGGTGTGCCTATGGACCGTCCTGCACCTCTGCGCACCCAGAGCGAGTACGGTGTCGAGTATGGCCCAGGTGTCGATGAGGCCCTCATTCTTGATGACGACTTGAGTTCAATTGAGACCTGGAGACGAGGCATTGTGCCTTATGGAGAGGATGAGAGTGAAGTTGACATGGAGCTTATCACACCCTTGGCCGACAGGGAGACGAGAAGCCGTTATGGCGGGGATGATTTCGACACAAAGTCCCGCCGAAGCACAAGAACAAGTAAAACACACGAGAGTTCACGAAGTCACAAGACACACCGAACAGACGACAGCCGCCGTAGCCATCGCAGCCACAGGAGTCGTCGTGATGATGACGACAGGAGTACACGACGTGAGGATTACGCAGAGAGCATCGCCGACAGCGAGCGCAGCCATCGCTCATCAAGGAGTAAGCGATCCGAGAGGATCGAGACGAGGTCAATCGACAGTCGAAGCAGCAGCCGACGAGACGACGAATCACAAGTCACTGTACGACCCAAGGTCAACCGCAACAACAGCAACATGCTCAAGGCCCTCTTCAAGAACAAGGAGAAGAAGGAGCGCTCGCTTGTCATGGCATAACGATCTCGCGGGATTTAATACCCCCTCGTATCACACATTTTTATCTCATTTTCTTTTTTGCATATTACCCTGGCGCATTTTAAAGACCGGTGGATGCCAACATCTACGGTAGACGAGACAAAGATTTACATTACATTTACGGATATTTTTTTCCCCTTCAAGTACAGAAAGATCATGGATGGGCCAAGAAGAAATGCCCTTCCCACCAGCGATTTATTCCCTTTCGTTTTTGTTGGTTATTTCTTTTCCTTTTTATGAATACTATGAAAGATGCTCTTGCACACGCTTGAGTGGAGGTGGATTTATTGCATTACGCACGGAAGACAGATGACGGAGCTGTTTGCATTGGGTTGGGTTGGGATTTGTTTGTACTTAGGTAGCCCTGAGGGACATGTATACCAACCAATACATGAGAAGTTTTATGCTTCTTATTTGGATTGTTCAATTGTGTGCGCTTGTCTTAAGATTGTGACGTTTGTCGTGGCATTTTTTTGATGATATCAGGTTTGGTGGGGGTTTGGAAGCGAGATGTGAAGTGTCTGTCACCATGCAGATTGACGATGGATGCGTTGGCATCGCTAACATGCTTGCATTGCGTGACTTTTGCTTCGTCGTCATTGGTGCAGGGATTGCACATGACTGCCTGGCCTTTGCTTTGTGATACTTACTACGGTTTGGTGCAGTTATCTTGACTACAGTGGTGAGCAAAGACGTCTGTTTGCCTCTATGTGCTTTCCGAGCAACCTTTCATAGCCGACAGTAAGTTTGACCAAGCTAGCTTGCATAAAGTAATTGTGTTTTGGCAACTGTACGGATTGACGCGGAGCGTTTTTATGTTGTGGTGCGGCTGCTTGTGTATGCAGTGTTGCCTCAACAGTAATGCAGCTTGTTCATGCTTGCGAATCAATTGACACGAAGGAGGAATTTGTAGGATACGTGCCTAAGCAAACATGCAGGTCGGATAGTACAGCAGGAAAGTGGTGTCTTGTACTCGTGAAGTTTGTGATGATGATATGGGAGTTGTCGCTATCCTTGTCTTTGCTTCGCCCAAGGTGCCTATACGAGACATTTACTCAGCGATTGTCAGCTTGTGTATCATTCATCTGCGCAAAATGGTGTATCTGTTGGAATAAGTGACTTGGAGATGACGCGTCGACTAAAACTTGTCATCCTGTGACTGTAGTGGGTGAGTTTGTCTGTGTCCCCGTGCAAGTATAAATACCCCCTTTCTCCCCTGACACCTTTTCTTCTCCTTTACTTAACAACAACTTTATTATATATATTATACCATCGTTTCATTGATGAAGCAACCTGAGATCGACATACAAATCCCGGAACAGTATCTTCTGGGAATCTCTCGGGCAGACCATACCGGTTTCTCAAGTCAGTGATCATCACAATCAGCATCCATCTCTGTGATGGCGGCAGCGTTGCTGCGAGAGATGACGGAGTCTCGCGGACCTGAGACTCTGACTTTGAAGGCTATGAACATGTCTCGGGCTTTATATGAATGACTCTTTGCAACAAGGTGTAGCATCGGTATTAGTACGTTGTCCCATACCTTGCTTTCATGAGTACCTACACTAACGTTAACCAAGCAACCCTGGATGTCTCGTGATACCTGCTACGCGATCCTAAAACAGCAGAAGTACCAGGCTTAGCAGCAAGACATTCCTCGTTCCCCTCGCCGGTTGTAGATGCATCGGCATTGACACCGCATCTTCCACCCCATCTATAGACATCAAGAAGTGGGAATGCGGGGAAGTACGCGGGACTTCGATACTATACTCGGCCGTCATCACCAGCAACTGCGGAACCGGCAAGACTATCGTCATCTCGGGCTGGAGGCGCATCAAGGAGCTCGAAACCGACGCTTTGGTCATACCCGAAGGTAAACCTATATACAGCCCGACCATCTAGATGTCGGTGACCACACCGTTGAAGGGTGCAAGGTTCTCTATAAGCACCCGCACGGATTGTATTTCCGGCAACAGGTCTTTTTTTATATTGCTTTTACGCAGGTGAATGGGAACATGATCGACCTGCCAGACGACGATCCTAGCGCAGAGCGGCACCTGATATACTATCTCTACAATCTCGATCTCATTGGCCACGAGTTCATTTCAGAGAACGGAACTTCATTTAAGAAGAGCTATCAACAACCCAACACAATGATGCACCGAAAAAACTGCTCGAATCTGCTGGCCACAGGGCATCCTCGAAAAGTGTACAAATAGTCTAATAGCAATAAACGCTGTTATTAAGAAGCACAGTCTCACAGATGAAGGTTGGCAATTCATACTTGCGCGCTTTCATCAACCAAGATGGTGGTGACCGGTCAGATGAGTAGAGAAAAGGGATGCAGACACCAGGTTTACCATCACTTTCCATCTCCGACTATCCGGTGGGATTATCTGGCAGCGGAACTTCGTACCTACTATATGCACAAGACGACAGATGAGATCAAGTCGACATACAACTTACTTTCAAAGAAACCCCGACTCAGGTCTCCTTATTTAATTCGGGAATAGAAGAGGTTCGCAGAGGTGACTTGTTCAGCGCGAGATCTGGCGTGTAAAGCAGCACCTATGTCTAAAAGGCCTTGTATGGGATCCAAAGGACAACAACGATCTATACTACTATACAACTGCCTTAGAGGACAAATGAACAACCCCATGAACTGCCATCGTGAAGTCCTGCAACATGATCGCAGAGACCGGTAACGGCAACGGCCAAGGCCAAACTCACATCGAACGAACATACCAGTACGAGTTCGACCGCCATGTCCTGGCTGTCGACTGTATTGCTATGCGTGAGGCTAATATACGCGCCACGCAGTAAATGTGCTCCATTCATGACCTTCTGAAACGGACAGTCTGGTCTTTCGTTGACCAGCCCATGCATGGTCCTTAATGGGAGCGTTTGTGTATTTCTGGCAACTGGAGAGTATATAAATAATCCACAAAGAATTTTCAATGCATTGAATGTCATTCAAGGCATGGAATATTGTCGGCTGCTCCCTTGCGTCAAGAACATACACGACAACATCAAAAAGTCCAGCCCATAGCATATTCCTCCGCCATTTCTTACCTCACAAACCACCTTCACCATGTCTCGCTACATACAAGATAGGAATATTTTATTGTACGGGGCTCAAAAGTCCCTTATATATACCTTGTTCTGGTTGCAACCCGAATGCTTGCATAGGAGAGATCGGGAAGACAACCACCGGGGCTGCAGGAGCTCTAGCGATACAGGCCCAGCTCCGCCAGAGTCAAGCGTTTGGATATCTCCCTGTACCTTATGCCAGATATGCTTCGACAGTGCCGGCTTGACCCTTGTGGCGGCCGCGTTCCACTATGCGGGCCGCCTCGTTCATGTGCCAGTAACCTCCTGCCCCTACAGAACGCCGACTCATACAACAAAGGAAGGCTGGTCTGGCAACTCTCCACGCACATGATCATCATCGACGATATACGAAAAGCGAATCGGATCTGCCCACGAAGTAGCAATCAACAGCAGCTGCACAATGAATCTCGAAAACGGAATAGAACCCAACGACCCCAAAAGGTGAGGGGGTTACCGCATATATCCCACAAAGCAGAACAAACTATTATAGAAAATCTGGCCAGCTTCATAAGGTCCTTTGTCACGACGAGAATTTACGCTATATCAAGATCGACTCGATAGATATGTCTCATCTCGTCGATCAAAAGGCTCAATGACTGTGGTCAAGCCCTTTAATTGACGACAACAGCAAGGAGCTCCCGGCCATATGTTTGCAAATGACACAGAGGAAAGCCAGTTATCTCCGGGTTGAGCCGCAATATCACCATCCACGAGATTCACCTGGCACCCCCATCTCCCGAGAGCGGGTTTTGTGATGGCTATCGATTTCTCATATTCATTCTGGCCAACACTCGAAGTGATCTGGGCCGTCAGTCCTCACTTCTTGCTGGAAAGTCGATCTCTATACCCCAGGCGTGAGCAACCCCAGCCTCATTTGGAGAAAACCGGGATCAAATCGGCCACCTTCGTGGAGAAAGGCACCGTGTACACCACTTTCTCTCCCGGGAGAGCTCAGGAGAAGAAGAGAAGACAGGTACCGGTCGTATGAAAGCTTCCAATGATCGACATAAGCCGTTAATTTATAGACCTGCTATCATCCTATGTCCCAAAGCGCCCAGAGGAGATACGCTTATCCTCAGCCCAAAGATGACAAAGGAGTACGTTGAGGTCGGACTGATTGTCGGAGATGTCCCTGAAAAGCGCTCGCGCAAAGGTACCAAGGGTACCCTGGCCATGAGTACTGAGGCGAGTCTGAGATCCCCGAGATCACTAAGGGCCAGCATCTCAACATCAAGTCTCAGGGCAGGGTCCCCAACTCCGGGATGCGTCAGTACATAATCTGGCCTTACATATGAGCGGTATATATAAACAACAAGTCCCTATCTTTTCCTTACTATCGGTCTCAATTTTCGGTCGGATAACGTAACCATGGATATGAGCAGCGTGACGATTGCCACTCCCAAGTCACCACCGCCATTTACCAGAAAGCACATGGCTTTTCAAGCATATTGGACTCTACAATAGTCAAGTCCACGATGGTGATCAAGACAAATACGATGGACTAGGCTATGAAGCGCTGGGCCCCGGCCAATTTCGAGGATCAAGCATCAAAGAACAGCACCAAAGGCCAGCGTGACCTCTACAGAAACCCCGTGGAGCGTTCTGGTTCCTGTCGGTGCACCTCTTGACTGCTACACCCAATGGAAGCTTTGGTAGTTGATGACCCTGGCAAAGGGCCGCGAAGAAATGTTCGCCACGGCATTGCGGCTCTGGGTATAATTGAACACCATGGAGACAGACCTTTCGGTATGCATGATCTTTATATCTTCGCTGTTGGTAGCCTGACCTCTGGCTGGTTGTTCAAATCGGTGGCAGTAACCTACATAACCGTCATCAAAATATATCTAGTGTGGATATCGCATATTCAACGA